CACATCAAATATCTGACGATGACACTTATGATTTCCCAAGTGGGGATGAAATTTTTTTGACAGAGGGATTCATTTTATCTTTTGGCTTGTCATATCTTCTTTCCTATGTTTTTCGAACAGATTTCAATTTTTTTCTAGCTTTTTTTTTTCATGTGTCACGAATGTCGCTGACATTTTTTAAAGGGTTTGTCTTTATTTTCTTATATCCCATTTTTTTTTGCCTTACTAGAAAAGAAACAAAAAGATCGATTTTCATATCATGCAAAGTTTTCAAATAATTACTTTCCTATCCATATAAATCTACTCACCCAAACATCCGTCAATTATTCTCTTTTTTTTTCTTTCTATTTTTTTTTTCTTCTAGTTTTCTCTCCCCCTCCTGAAACACTTTTGTATTTTTTATTTATTCATCCTTTTTTTTAACGTGAAAATCTATCGTTATAATCGGGATTTTTGGAATCGTAAGATTTCGCAATCAGTTCTCTTACTCGATTCAGGCTGAGAATTTTTCTCCAAAACAAACCATTTTTTTTTTAAGTTTGTCTCGTGAACGCAGATTTGTCTACATTTCTTAGATGAGATATTTTAACTATATACACTATTCACATCGTTCGGACGACGTTTCAGTCCTTCTACGCCCCGTTCATCCTCAGGTAATACACGTACGAATTTTGCACTCTTTACGTAAATTGTTCTAATTCCATACCTTTCTTTAGATATTAACTTTATTAACTCAAATCTCGAAGTTTTTTGTTACCGTCTGCTGTGGCCAGGTACGGAACTATCAATACTTTGGGATTACTTTATTTTTGGATTATTTCAACAAAAAAAAAATGCATGCTTGAAACAGAGATATACAAAAAAAAAGTCATGGCACGTGGAATTAGAACAATCTAACACCGCTGTCCAAATCTTTATCTGTCTTTATATATATATATATATATATATATATATATATATATATATATATATATATGTGTGTGTGTGTGTAAATATAAATTTTAATTTCTCAAACTAATATAAAGTAAAAAATAATTGTAAATAATTACATCATTTAAATATAAAAAATAATTAAAAATAACGATAATCTATGTATCTATCTACCAAGTCTCTTTGATATCTATCTATCTATCTATCTATCTATCTATCTATCTATCTATCTATCTATCGTTCTATCGTTCTATCTATCTATCGTTCTATCTATCTATCAGAGTCTCTTTGATATCTATCTATCTATCTATCTATCTATCTATCTATCTATCAATCAGATTATTTACTTTCATTTTTTTTAAAATTAAATTACATCACTTGATATCACCCATACTTTACCTTGACTTACATTTAGCCTGAATATATTCTTGAGAGTTCTTAAATTTAAATATTTTGTAAAACTAACGATATTTTCCTTATGTTTATACAGGCTGAGGTAAAGAGGACAGACGTTTTTGAAAAATTCACATCATTAATTTTCGCTTTATTACTCTCAATGTATTCATATTGAATTATCATTTGAGAAAATCAAGTGTGGAAATCAACATTCCTCGTGTGATATCCGTTTTCATTGATGCATTTCTGAAGGCGTTCATGGAAATGGACCTCCACTCTTTCCAGCATTGCTTTGTCTATTTGGGCGCCTTCCACACCAATAGCTTCCTTTAAATTGTCCAATGTACGGGGTTTAGGCTCATAGACACGTACCTTGAAGTTTCCCCACAAGAAATAATCACAAATGAACAGATGAGGAGACTGAGGGCGTCAATGAGTGTCAGCAAAGCTGAAAACGAGGCGGTCACCAAAGTGAGGGCGAAGTACGTCTATTGGTGATCTGGCTGTGTGGGGCCGATGCACCATCCTTCTGAAATCAAACACGTCAGATAGGAATATGTTTTCATCATAATTCAGGCACAAAGAAGTTGTTTATCATCTCGATGTAACGCTCAGAGTTCACAGTAACAAAATTTCCATTATGCCCTTCAAAAAAGTACGGACCAATAACGCCAGCTTTTCCGACAGTACACCAAACTGTCACTTTTGTGCTGTGCAGTAGTCTTTCATGTAGTTCTCTCGGATTTTGAGAGCCCAATAACGACAATTCTATTGATTTACCATGCCATTGAGATGAAAAGGAGCTTCATCACTCATTAACAAAAAAGTGGTTGTCATTTGCCTCAAAAATTGCTTCCACCTGACATGTGAAGTTAAGCCACTCTGCATAGTCCCCCCTGGTCTCAACTGTTGCCCAATGATCAATTTAGGGGTGGAAATGCCCTTCATGCTAAATACGCCTTTATATAAACACACACAACTACATATATATATATATATATATATATATATATATATATATATATATATATATATATATATAAAAGTTTTAAAAAAAAGAAAACAACAAATGATTTGTTCATACACATGTGCCTTGAGGTTTCCCCACAAGATATAATCACACATGGACAAATCAGGGGGCCGAGGGGGCCAAGTAGTGTCATCAAACCTTGAAATGAGGCGGTCATTGAAGAAAGAGCAAATAACGTCTATTGGTGGTCTGACTGTGTGGGCCGTCGCACCAATAACGACAATTCTATTGATTTATCATGCCATTGAAATGAAAAGAAGCTTCATCACTCATTAACAAAATGTGGTTATTTACCTCAAAAATTGCTTCCACCTGACATGTGAAGTTGCTTACTTATGTATAATTTTTTAGTCTCAACTTTTTTCAATGACCAATTTGTAGGGGGTGGGGAAATGTAGTTCTTCATGCTAAATACGCCTTACCGAAGGATTATCGAAGCAATGTTCAGTAACATGCCTTTAAGAATAACGATTCGGACTGCGCAGAAAAGATAGTCTGACGTGTTCCACATTTTCTGGGGTACGTGCAGTTCTTGTGCCCCCCCCACCTGTCTGCTATTCATTAGTGTACTTTGTGCACGAAGTGCATGAGCCCAATGTAAGATTGCTTTACGAGTGGGAACAGCCTGATTTCGGTGAATGTTGAATTGGCGGTGCAAACTCACGCTGAATTGCAGTGACAGAATCACGGAAATGTCGTTGGCAAACACGCGGTGCTCTATCGTACCCAGCGCCATGCTTTCAACTGAAAAGAAAAAGACAATGCTAAGATATCACGGATCAAATGATACCTGTCTCTTCCCCTGGTGTCGAGTAATAGCCATTTTCAAAATGTCAGTCCTCTGTGCCTGTACCTACTTATTGCAATATAAAATCCTTACATTTACCTTGATGATGTTCATCAGAGGGCGAAACGCCTAAGATACCATGCGTTACCGTTTTGTCTAACCCACCCACAAATATATATATATATATATATATATATATATATATATTAATGCATATTTCATTAAATAATACGTATATACGAGTTTGTCGTTACTTGGAAATTTTCATGCAGCTAGGGCGGACTATCATTCTTGTTTTGTCCGTTGTTGTTTGATTCATTGAAATTGTCATCTTTGATAATGGCTTATGTAAGCCGAAAGCTTAGATTGTATTTAAACATGTATCAATATGGTGATTTCCTTTCGTCTTTTAATGATAATGTGATTAAGCTTATCAGACAATATGAAAGGAACTCAATAAATGAAAAATTGCTGCCTAAATATACACAATATATATATATATATATATATATATATATATATATATGATTTTTAATGAACATGTGTGACCCGAAATAAATCGTATCATACGAACAAATTCTACATTAACTTGATAAAACGAGACAAAATGGGTCTACGTTCATCATCTAAACGCTTCAATTTTACTTTCGTTGCAGAAATGAGATTTTAAATAATTTCAATTTATTTTTTCTTTAATATTACTTCTGTTGAAACTTGACTAATGCATGGAATAATAATGCAACACAAAGTGTACTTAGAACAAAATATTGAAACCAGAAAGTGTACACAATATTTACATATAGTCTTTTTGTATATTCCTGGTAAGACCGTTCTGGAGAATGTGTTGATTTAGTCGCAGTCGGGCAGAGTCTCTGGATTGAATCTCTTGATTCCCCTCCTCCGTCTTCCCGGTAACAACCATATTTATATGGTCGGTTATAAATTAGGTGGATCCTACCACAACAACTTTCGTTTTTAATTCTATTTTTACTTTTTTAGAATTGAATAGGTGTGATATATATATATATATATATATATATATATATATATATATATTGGATTAGATGTGAGTTTGTGACCCTGCTTTACGCTTTAGCGGTCGTCACAAACTGATTAATGTTTTAAAGCGTGAAAACTAGGGTCACAAACTCACATCTATCCAACCAAATATGTTAGCTATCTCTGATATTGAGTGCTTTCTAATAAGTACTATGCATATAATATATAAATAATTATACATATATATATTTATTTATATTTATATACACTTTTCACACACACACACACATATATATATATATATATATATATATATATATATATATATATATATATATATATATATATATCAGGAACAATATTGGGGAAAATGTATAAGAAATCGGATAAAGTTTGACTTGTTTTTGTCTTTTAGGATTTCATTGGGGACTAAATATGCTATGTTGGTGCGACTACACATGCGCACGAAACAGAAGAAAAATTTCCCAGCATCCCTCATTCGTGCGCATGTGTTGTCGCACCCACCATAACATAACAAATTTCGTCTCCAATGAGTCTTATATAAACACGAACGATATGCCCATCTTAAAGACCAAGTGGCTGATTTCAATACTGAAAAGTGTGAGACTTGATAAGCAAGCAAATGATTATTTCGAAAAGCAAAATCAAGATAAATGTGAAGAAAAGAGCAGAGTAAGATAAAAGAAAACACAGCTTTTTTTTTATTTTTATTTGGAGAGTAAACAACCTGTCATAAAACATATTGTGATATAGGATATTTCAGAGACAAATAGGAACAGAAAGGTATGAACAGACTGTAAGAGATAGATAGATAGATAGATATAAAAGAGACGACTTTCATAGATAGTTAGATAGAGAGATATAAAAGAGACTCTGATAGATAGATAGATAGATAGATAGATAGATAGATAGATAGATAGATATCAAAGAGACTCTGATAGATAGATATTTAGATATAAAAGAGACTTTCATAGATAGATAGATAGATAGATAGATAGATAGATAGATAGATATAAAAGAGACCCTGATAGATAGATAGATAGATAGATAGATAGATATTAAAGAGACCGAGATAGATATTAAAGAGCCTGAGATAGATAGATAGATAGATAGATAGATATTAAAGAGACTGAGAGAGGTAGATAGATATTATAAGAGACTGAGATAGATAGATAGATAGATAGATAGATAGATAGATAGATAGATACTGAAAGAGAGAGAGAGAGAGAGATAAAAGGACTGTTATAAGTAAAGAGATATTAAAGAGATTGTGATAGATATTGTTAAAAATAGATAGATATAGTTAGAAGCAGAGAAATAGATATAGCTACAATAGATAGATAGATAGATAGATAGATAGATAGATAGATAAAGAGGCTGTGATTGATAGATATTAAAGAGACTGAGATAGATAGATAGATAAATAGATAGATAGATAGATATTAAAGAGACTTAGAGAGGTAGACATATATTAAAGTGAGATAGATAGATAGATAGATAGATAGATAGATAGATAGATAGATAGATATTAAAGAGACTGAGAGATAGATAGATGATAAAAGGACTGTAATATGTAAAGAGATATTAAAGAGACGGTGATAGATATAGTTAGAAATAGATAGATATAGTTAGAAACAGATAAATATAGATAGATAGATAGATAGATAGATAGATAGATAGATAGATAGATAGATAGATAGATATTAAAGATACTGAAAGAGAGAGAGAGATATATATAACAGGACTGTTATAAGTAAAGAGATATTAAAGAGATTGTGATAGATATTGTTAAAAATAGATAGATATAGTTAGAAGCAGAGAAATAGATATAGCTACAAATAGATAGATAGATAGATAGATAGATAGATAGATAGAACGATAAAGAGACTGTGATTGACAGATATGAAAGAGACTGAGAGAGGTTGATAGATATTATAAGAGACTGAGATAGATAGATAGATAGATAGATAGATATTAAAGAGACTGAGAGAGATATAGTTAGATATAATTAGAAACAGGTAGATAGATATAGCTACAAATAGATAGATAGATGGATAGATAGATAGATAGATAGATAGATAGATAGATAGATATTAAAGAGACTGAGAGATAGATAGATGATAAAAGGACTGTAATAAGTAAAGAGGTATTAAAGAGAATGTGATAGATATAGTTAGATATAGTTAGAAACAGGTAGATAGATATAGCTACAAATAGATAGATAGATAGATAGATAGATAGATAGATAGATAGATAGATAGATAGATAGATAAAGAGACTGATTGATAGATATTAAAGAGACTGAGATAGATAGATAGATAGATAGATAGATAGATAGATAGATAGATAGATATTAAAGAGACTTAGAGAGGTAGACATATATTAAAGAGACTGAGATAGATAGATAGATAGATAGATAGATAGATAGATAGATAGATATTAAAGAGACTGAGAGAGATAGATAGATGAAAAAGTGACTGTTATAAGTAAAGGGATATTAAAGAGACTGTGATAGATACAGTTAGAAATAGATAGATATAGTTAGAAACAGATAAATATAGCTACAAATAGATAGATAGATAGATAGATAGATAGATAGATAGATTTGTATTAATCTGTAAATATTGCACGCATAATTTGCACACATATGGCCCTCAAAACGATCTACATAAGAGCTAATCAAAAAGATCACCATGTATTATCACACATCGAGTGACACACGAATACGATGCAGTCATTCTATTAGGACCGCAGATGTTCAGTTATCTCGATGCTATTAAATAAAAGCGGAAATAATTTATCTTAAGAAGATGAGAAAATGCGAATGGCGGGCAAGTGGGAGACGAAGGCAGCAGACATTGTGAGTTATAATGAAAATATGAGATGCTTTAACAATTTTCTTGTCTTTTTCTTTCTTTTATGCGTCCTTTCGGGTGACACCCATTTGACTCCCTGAGCACCCCAGCCAGTGCAGGCTGTCCCAGGGGAGACAATGCGAGCATCAGTCGTGTCGTTAATCCGAACCAATTGCAATAAGAGGCGAGACTTCCGGTGGTTTTCGGCTTTTA